GCATGAGATGTGGTGGGTTCAGCAGGACTGGACTCAGGATGGAAGAAAGTGGACCTGGCCCAGTCCTGACCCTGCATCCGGAAACCCCGTGATAACACCAGCCTCCGTTAGCCAGTGTTTGCTGAGCAGTGAATGGGCCATGACAACTTTGGGGTGAAAAGTTCACCAAGTTAGGAGTGGACCGAGCTGCTTGGGCCACCCAGGTCCTTCAGGACCCTTTTGTCGTGGTCCCTGAGTCCCTGAGTAGTCTGGGCACTTGCCACCCAGAGAGGCAAGTGTTGAGTTTCAGTCCTGCCTTTGCCTGTTCTCTGCGTGCCGCTTAACTTACCCTGGCCTCCATTTCCCCGTCTGTACAGTGGGCATGATTGCATGAGGACCTCCCAGGAGAGGAGTGAGGATGAGCTGAACTGGGAGGTCATTGTCTGGCAGGTAGTGGCCCTCCACACACGGCAGCCGTTGTGATTGTAATAATTGCTTCTGATCTCCTGACTGTTGCAGACTTTCCTTTTGTGCAGCTGACGGCTGGAAATGCCCCATCCACCGTTTGGCAGGACCCCCTGTGGACGTGGGGTCACTTGCTAAGCCTGTGCCGTTCCTTGGCATTTGGGGGCAAGGCAAGTTGCCCCTGTCTTCTTGGGCCATATCACAACCTGGGCAGTGCCTGCTCTGGCCTCTGGCCACCACCTTGTCCTTGTCCCTAGGGCCACACTCGGCACCCATGTGCCCAGAGCTTGCCCTCCAGCTCCACCCGGCTGAGCTCAGCTGTATCCTCCAGATCAGGCAGCTGGAGGGCAGGGATGTGCCTCCAGGCAGCCCCACGGTCCCCCTTCTTCCCTCCTCACAGTCTTGGCTGGTGGTCTTGTCCCCTTCACCCTCCTACTCAGTAACTTTAAAAATAACAGAGTAGCCTGTCCCCACCGAGGGCTGTAACCTGACCCGAGTTGGATTCTGCTCCATCAGGGCCTGGATACAAGGACTCAGCACTTGGGAGTATGGGACCATGGTGCTATAGCTGCTCTGTCCCCAGGCCACTGGGTGACCCTAGACAGGCCTCACCCCTTATTCTCTGTGCCTCAGTTTCCTGTGCTTCACGTGCTTCACATAGTCCATGATGCTGGAGTGTGAAACTTTGCTTTTCCCGGTGCAGATGAACAGCTGGGGTCCCCGTGTGGGTGGCTGTCCAACGGGGTTGCCATAACCCCAAGCGGAGGGGTGTTGGGAAGGAACTCCCCCAAGTGACTGGGGTTGGGGGCAGGAAGAGCCGGCTACGTCCCTCGGCAGGTCTCTGGCAGATGCGCCTCCTGTCCCACTTCTGAACCCCAGCTCCTTTCCGGGGCCAAGGAACTCCTTGTGCCCACCAAGAGGTGAGCAACAGCCAAGGTGGCTGGCAGGACCTGGGTAGCCGGCGGTGGCTTGGCCAGGAGGCCTGGCGCGGCACCGGGCCAGGAGCGTCCCTCCCCGGGCTCCGACTCACGCTCGCCCACTCGCTGGCTCCCCGAGGCCTCTGCATTGCAGCAGACGAGAGCCTTTGCCGGCAGCCCAGCTGGGACTTGGGGTGGAGCAAGGGACTGGGCAGGGGGTGTCTGTCCCCACCATCCCTACCCCTGCCCCCTCCCCTGCCCCTGGTCCCATTCAGCCCTGCCTTCCTTAGGAGATACAGCTGCTGACAAGGTAGCCTTCTCTGGGACTGATCTGAGTCTAGTCAGAAGTGCCGGACTCTCCGTGGGGCCCAGGCTCAGGGACTGTCACACCCCTGGGTTCTTTCTGCATCTGAGACCCCTCCTGAGCATCATTAGGGGTCTTGCCTACCCCCTGAAGAGGCTGTTTTGGAGCATTAGGGCTTTGGAGTTGAGAGCCCAGATTTTAGAACTGGGTGGCCTGGGTTCACCTTCCAGCTCAGCCACTTACTTCCTAGCTGTGTGATCTGGGACAGCTCACTTAACCTCTCTGTGCCTCAATTTTCTTGACTATAAAATAGGGATAATAATAGAACCTACCTCACAGGATTCTTGTGAAGATTAATGCATTTAAAGAACTTAGAACAGTGTCAGACACACATTTACGTCAATCAGCATTAGCTGTCGGTACCGTTGTCACTGTTCTCATCACGGATGCCATCGGCTCTGCCTCTTGGCTGAGCCCCCTCTTGTGCAGACTCTATTTTCCTTTGACAAATACTCCCTGTTAGCACTTGTTATATTGACAAGTGTTTTAGCTTAACAGTGTAGAGCCCAGATTCTGGAGCCAGGTAGCTCTGGGTTCAAATCCCAGCTCTGCTACTCACCAGCTGTGTGATCTTGTGCAAGTTCTTAACTTCTCTGGGCCTCAATTTCTCCATCTGTTAAAAGGGGATGGTGAAAGTACAAATCTCACAAGTTGTGAGGATTAAATAAGCAAACACATATGAAGTGCATGGCCTATATAAAAGGCTGGGCCTGAGGTGCCTGGCTGGCTCAGTCAGTGGAGCGTGAGGCTCTTGATCTTGGGGTCCTGAGTTCAAGCCCCACTTTGGGCATGGATCCTACTTAAAAAGAAAAATAAAATAAAATCCTATTAAGAAATAAATATATATATATATATATATGTGTGTATATGTATATGTATATGTATATGTATATGTATATGTATATGTATATGTAATGCCAGGCCCACAGGAAGGGTTGTGTTTACATAACTGCTTGTACTTAAAAAAATGTTTTTAAGTTTATTTGAGAGCGAGAGAGTGAGCATGAGCAGGGGAAGGGCAGAGAGAGAGAGAGGGAGGGAGAGAATCCCAAGCAGGCTCTGCGCTATCAGCACAGAGCTTGACATGGGGCTCAAACTCTCAAACCGTGAGATTATGACCTGAGCTGAAACCAAGAGTCAGATGCTTCGCCGACTGAGCCCCCCCAGGCGCCCCATATTTGCTTGTACTTACTGGGCAGCTGCTGTGCACCAGGCACAAAGGTTCAGAGTTAGGTGCCGGGATCCTTCACATACTGGCTCAAGTCCTGGCTTGGCCCTTTGTTGCAGAGTGATGCGGGGCACATGCTTTGCCTCTCTGTGCCTCAGTTTCTCCAACTATATATGGGGTGTGGAAGCAGCCGCCTCATGGGGTTGTGTGGGGTTTCTAGCACTCCAGAATATGAGCCAAGAGACTTTGTGCACCAGAGCTGTTGGGGAGGAGGTCTCTTGAGGTGGCCCCCTTTCCAGTCACTGCTCACTCAGAGTGACCCCTCCCGGTGTTCCGTGCCTCTCCTTTTCACTTGGGGACTCCAGAACTTTGTCCATTTTGCAGATGGGACGATAAAGTCCCCAGGATGAAAAGGGATGGAGTCAAGTCAAGAGGCAGCACTCAGAGGCACATGCCCAGCCTAGTCCCAGTCCTGCCCTGGACAAGCCCCACTTCCAAAGTCCCCACCGGGCCCACATCCTGCAGTGTCCCTGCAGGTCCCGGGCTCTCCCAGGCACTGGCTCAGTCCCGGGGGGCCCAATATGGGGGGTGCTTTGGACAAAGCAGACATTAAGCTCCAGAAAGCCAAAAGGGCCCAAGTCAGGAAGTGAAGGGCAACCTGGGCTGGAGGAAAAGACTCTGGAAACTTCCAGGCGGATGTGAAAGTCCCTGGGTTGCTCCTAGGACCTGCGGTCACCCACTCTTGGTCTAAGAGAGTAAAGTTTTATTTGGGGAGACGAAAGGCCTGATTTGGCGAGGAGAGAACTAAGCAAACATTTATTTATTAAGCACCCACTGTATACAGTGGTAACAATCAGCAGCAATTATTACGTGCTAGGCACTGTGGCCAGAACTGGTGCTCATGCATCGAACCTCATGCTGTTTTAAAGCTGATCTCAGTTTTGTCTGCAGAGTCCTCCAGATCCCCTGCACCCTCACCCCCCAGGCCACGTGGAGTGTCCTTGCCTCCCTCAAGCACATCGGCACACTCCTACCTCGGGGCTGTGGCGCTGACTATTCCAGCAGAAAGTGCTTTTCCCCCAGATAGCCGCATGGTGGACCCCCTCACCTCTTCTCGATCTTGCTCAAGTGTTACCTTCCTAGCGAGGTCTTTCCCGGACCCCCTGCTTCAAATTGCCCTCAGGGCACGTGGGTGGCCCAGTCGGTTAAACGTCTGACTCTTGACCTCGGCTCAGGTCATGACCTCACGGGTTCGTGAGTTCAGGCCCCACGTCGGTCTCTGCTGGGGATTCTGTCTCTCCCTCTCTCTGCCCCCTCGCCACTTGCACTCTCTCTCACTCAAAATAAATAAACTTTAATAAATAAATAAGTAAACAGATAAAAAAAAATTGCCCTCACCATTTCCTGGACCCCCCTATTTAGAACTGTCCCCATTGCCCCCCATCCCCTACACCCCATTCTTTACCCCCCAGCCCTATCTCTTTTTTTTTTAAATTTTTTTTTTTTCAACGTTTATTTATTTTTGGGACAGAGAGAGACCGAGCATGAACGGGGGAGGGGCAAGAGAGAAGGAACACAGAATCTGAAATAGCGCAGGCTCTGAGCCATCAGCCAGAGCCCTGACTGCAGCTAACTTCCCGACGTACCGCACTCCTGGCTGAAGTCGACGCTAACTCATCAGCGCCCAGGCTTCAGCTCCTATCTCTTAACCGTATCGTTTACTCATTGTGTTTCTCCGTCTCTGACCCGCGTGTACCATCTCCACAGAATCAGGGATCTTTGTTTTTGTTCGTCGTTAAATCCCAACACAAAGAACAGAGTCTGGCCCACTCAGTAAACCTTGGTGTTCGGTAAACATTCCTTAAATGAATGGAATCTTCACGAAACTCCTGGGAAATCAGAACGCTTGTCACTGCCATCTTGCAGATGAGGGAACCGAGGCGTAGAGATGTCAAGCGACTTGCCCAAAGTCACACAGCCAACAAGCGGCAAACCTGACCTCCTTGCCCTGTCGCCCCTACAGGTCTGGCCTCACCCCACGGACAATGGCCTTGCCCCCGTGAGCTAGAGCCTGCCCCTCGGCACCTGCCCCTCGCCAGCCAGCAGGATGCAGCTGTGGAAGGCGGTGGTGGTGACCCTGGCCTTCATGAGCATGGACGTCGGCATGACCACGGCCATCTACATCCTCAGCCACCTGGATCGCAGCCTGCTGGAGGACATCCGCCATTTCAACATCTTTGACTCGGTGCTGGACCTCTGGGCGGCCTGCCTGTACCGCAGCTGCCTGCTGCTGGGAGCCACCATTGGCGTGGCCAAGAACAGCGCCCTCGGGCCGCGGCGGCTTCGGGCCTCCTGGACGGTCATCGCCCTCGTGTGCCTCTTTGTGGGCGTTTACGCCATGGTGAAGCTGTTGCTCTTCTCCGAGGTGCGCAAGCCAGTCCGGGACCCGTGGTTCTGGGCCCTGTTCGTGTGGACTTACGTCTCGCTTGCCGCTTCCTTCCTCCTCTGGTGGCTGCTGTCCACGGTGCGGCCGGACGCCAAGGCCCTCGAGCGGGGGGCCGAAGCCGAGGCCGAGGGCTTCCCTGGGGAGGACCGGCCCCCGCGTGAGCAGGCGTCTGGGGCTACGCTACAAAAGCTGCTGTCCTACACCAAGCCTGACGTGGCCTTCCTCGTGGCGGCCTCCTTCTTCCTCATCGTGGCAGCTCTGGGTAAGTGAGGCCCCGGGGGGCCTGGCAGGCACCCGCCAAAGCACTCGAGGGGGTTACAGTTGCCTGTTCTTTCCTCTTAAACGTTTGACATTTTTCTCACGTGGTCCAAACAGCATTTTGATACGGGAAGGTGAACACGGAGAGTTTCACTCCTAATTCTGCCTGACCACCCTGATCTCCCTGCCTAGGGCTAACTCCAGCAAAATGTTCTAGAAGCTTCCAGGCGGGTGGGAAACCACTTTCTTTCGTTTCTTGTATGTTCTTGCAGTGTTTCCTTACAGAGCTACAAGCAAAAAAAAAAAAAAAAAAAAAAAAAAACCACGGTACTCTTAACAACCTCTCACACGCTACCTTGCTATTTCATGCCTTGCTCTTCTTACTTAACGATATATTTTTGGAAATTTCCAATCAGCACCTCGTCCTTTTATTTGGCTGCATAATAGTAGTCCGCTGTGTGGCCGTAGCAGAGATTGTACAGTTGGCGTCTTGCGGTCGGACCCTCGAGTTGTTTTGAGTCTTTTCTCTTACGGTAAATACGTTTCATATAAATGGGGGTATATCTGTAGGCTACATTTCCCGGAAGTGGATCACTGGGTCAAAGCATTTTTCTGGTAACGAAGCAGAATGTACGAGAGAGCCTCAGAATATGCTGTCTGTGATAAGAATAAGTATCATTTGGGGAAACATTTATCTTAGTCACGTGTGCCTATATGTAAACGTGTTCTGGTTTGTCATGTAAAATGAATTTGTTACCGCGGTTCTGGTCCGAACAGTTTGTTTTTAAATTTTTTTTTTAAGCTTATGTATTTACTTGAGAGAAAGAGAGAGCGTGAGCTTTAGTGGGGGAGAGAGAATCCCAAGCAGACTCTGAGCTGTCAGCATGGACCCCGACAGGGGGCTCGAACTCAGGCACCGTGAGATCATGACCCGAACTGAAATAAAGAGTTAGACGCTTAACCAGCTGAGCCACCCGGGCGCCCCTGGTCCAAACAGTTTGAAAGCACTGCTCAAACAACGTGGGTAGGAAGGTGACATCTCAGGGTCAAAAGTCCGTGGGTTCCGGGGTGCGATAAGGCCTGGTCCTCGCCTGGCTGTGTGCCTGTGGGCAAGTTAGCGGACCTTTCAGAACCTCACTTCTGTGAAATGGGGATTGTTGGCATTCTCCGTGTTTCACGATGTTGTAAAGCTTGGAGAAACAGGAGAAAGACAAGTACGGAGCTTGGTACAATATGGTAAGCTCTCAGGAACGTTAGCCGTTAGGCGTTGTTACACGTTTAACACAGTGTCTGGGAGTGGGCACAAAGCCAGAGTGTTCTCAACGAGGACAGGCAAGCCCCGGAGCTGACCCCTTTCCTCTTACGGTCCACCCTCTGCCCTCTCAGTCCCAGCCCCTTGACCGCTGTGCAACTTTATGCAAGTCACTTAATGCCTCTGAGTCTCAGTCCCCTCATCTGTAAAATGGGCATAATAATAGTACCCATCGCAACAAGGGCTGAGGAGGTGCGGGACGTTAATATGAGTACGACACTGCAGACAACTCCTGCCACACAGAAGGCTGCCGAAAAATTGTAGTGGCTGTGAGTATTGGGATGACCCCTTTCCATTTAACCAGATAGTGTCTCCTGCTCATGTTTCAAGGTCCAAATGTTCCCTTATCAGAGAAGCCTCCTCGAATTCTAGTGACTTGATCTCCACCTCAGTTGTAGCTATGGTGTCATGAAAATCACACATCCACTGTCCTGCCTCCCCGACCAGGTTTTGAGCCCCTTGGGGGGGTAGGGGCCAGGTCTGCCTCACCCCGGGTCCCCCCCACCCCACCCCAAATCCTGGCACAGAAGCAGGCTCGCCGAATGAATGAACAGACGACCGACCAGCGCGCCCGTGTGGGCAGCTGTCACCCATGACCTCGTTTCCCCCTCCTGCCAGGGCCCTGTTGTCAGCTGCCTGCGCTCGGGGACTACAGATGTCCTGAAATACAGCTGAGCACATTCTGCCAGCCTGCAGGGTTGTGTCGAGGTGAAGGGCTTAGACTTGAGATCAGGCCCCCACCTGTCCTGGTAACTTGAGGCAAGGTTATTGAACTTGGCCAAGGCTGTTTCTCATCCTGAAAGTGGGGTTTCGTTGGGCTTGTGAGAATTGGGTGAGCTGGGGCACGGTGCTTGCAAAAGGAAGTACTTCGCACAGGTTAGGGACAGGGGCTACTGATAATTATTCTTGATCAACAAGCGCCCAGTAGGGGCCAGCTTTTTCTGAAACCTTATAATCTGAAAGAAAAACCGCCCATTGTGGGGAAAAACGGCGAATTTTAGGGTGGAGCATCTCCTATCCAACTGAAATTCTTTAATATGGACTTCACACCAACCCAACTAGAAAACCTTGGGCAAGTGACTTAGCCTCTCTGAACCTTGGTTTCCTCATCTGTAAAATGGGAATAATGATAATACCACACCTATGGGATTACTGGGGGGCGTTTGAGACTTGAAAGAGATGGGAGAGCAGATATCCAGTGTGACCCAGGTGGGGACAGTGAAAGAGACTGGATTCTAGAAATGTTGACTCTTTTTTTTTTTTAAATATTTATTTTTAAGAAAGAGTGAGAGAGTGTGAGCTGGGGATGGGGAGAGAGCAAGGGAGATACAGAATCCGAAGCAGGCTCCAGGCTCCGAGCTGTCAGCACAGAGCCCGACACGGGGCTCAAACCCACGAACCGCGAGTTCATGACCTGAGCTGAAATCAGTCGCTTAACCTACTGAGCCACCCAGGCGCCCCTAGAAATGTTGACTCTTGAACAACACGAGAGTTGGTTGAAACACATGCATATCTTTTGACTCCCCAAGAGCTTAACTTATGAAGAGACTCCTGTGGACCAGAAGCCTTCTTGATAATATAAACAGTTGAATAGCACATATTTTGTGTATTCAATTATTGCAACAAAGTAGTGTATTCTTATGATGAAATAAGCTACAGAAAAGACAGCCTTCTTAAGAAACCATAAGGAAAATACGTTTACGGTCTTGTACTGTTATTTATGGGAAAAATCTGCGTGTAAGTGAGCCTGAGCAGATCAGACCCGTGTTGTTCAAAGGTCACCCGTGGTTTTTTTTTAAGTTATTTATTTATTTATTTTGAGAGAGAGAGAGACAGAGAATGAATGCAAGCGGGGGAGGGGCAGAGAGAGAGGGAGAGAGAGCATCCCAAGCAGGCTCCGTGCTATCAACGCAGAGCCCGACACAGGGCTCGATCTCACAAACTGTGAGATCATGACCTGAGCCACATGATCAAGAGTCAGTCACTCAACCGACTGAGCCACCCAGGCGCCCCAAGGGTCACCTGTATTTTGAAGGTGGAGGCATAGGATTCGTCAGTGAATTGGAGAGTTTCGTGTGATTCCTGTGCAGATTTGACAAGAGCAAATCGCCTAGCTTAGCACGGCGCCTCGTACCCAGTAAGGGCTCAGTAAGTGTCCGTTGTGCTTAATATTATCATTGGTGTTTCTTGGAGCTCGCTGATGCCCTTTTCTTCCCTGTGGGTAAACTGAGGCCGACCTCCAGTTTAGGTGGACTCCACAGCAGTGCCTGGAGACCCCACGGAGGGGAGGACCATGGGGACGGAGGCCCTCTAGGTTGCCACCTTGTGGTCCCTGTGCCAAGACCAGCAGAGGGCAGCAGAACCCCACAGAAGGCCTCACTGTCCGGGCCGAGCCGGTCCCGCAGAGCTGGCCAGGGAAAGGGTGTCAAGACCAGCCCAGGATTCGTTCGCTGAACTTTACCGAGTACCTACCGTATGCCCAGGCCCATGCCAGGCTGTGCCCTTCGAAAGCACTGCAGTGACAGCGAGGACACAGCCTGGTCCAAGCACCTTCAGTCCTGAGTCCATCATCTGCACAAGATGAGAGCGGGCCTTCCGGGTTATTGGGAGGGAAGGGATAGGAAAGAGCCCCCAGATGGGAGGCCAGTTTGGGTTTGCGTCCTGGCCCTGCCTCTTAACTGCCCCGTGCCGTGTGACCCCAGGCAAATGACTCAGCCCCTGAGTCTCCCGTTCACCTCTGTGCCATGACATGGGGGTGGCGTCCCACTAGCCCCCTCTCACCACCCTGCCCGGCGTTGTTCTGAAGGTGGGTACAATAAGTGGGTGCACAGTGACATGGCAAACTGTGAAGTGTGCCACCGAGAGGGGCTGGGTGGCCGTTTCCAGCATCGTTGGAACCAAATACCTACGTCTCCTGAGGCTGGGAGCTTCTGGAATTTGGACTCCAGGGCCCTCCGCCAGTGAGAAGAAGGAAGTGAACTTGGGCCGTGTGGCCTGCCGAGCGTCGTCTCATCTGTCGGTTCCACTCTCCTGCTCACCTGTCCAATGGGGATGGTGGCAGGCCCACCCGCAGAGTTTGTGCAGAGGGAACCGAGCAGCGCCCGGGAGTCCCATGGCGCCGTGCGCTCGGGTCTCGTAGCCATTACGAGCGGTACTGACCCGGTCTGTATAGGCCGAGTCACCCGTGTTTCCTGTGTTCCTGTTCCCTGAAAAGAGGGGGGCATTAAGCGGTGCGGGCCCCTGCCCCGCCTCCCGCCAAGGTGAGAAGCAGGAGTTTGCCAAGAGAGAGCACCCCATCCATCGGTGGAGTGAGCCGAACAGGCGGTGTGCGGGCTTCTGGAGGCTCAGTGGGGGAGGGTACAGGCTTCCCGGGCTGCAGATGCCCCCTGAGCCCACATGTCTCCCGGCAGGAGAGACCTTCCTTCCCTACTACACCGGCCGGGCCATCGACGGCATCGTCATCCAGAAGAGCATGGAGCAGTTCAGCACGGCTGTCATTGTCATGTGCCTGCTGGCTATCGGCAGGTAGCCTGCTCTCACCCCCACGCCCTGCCCTCTAGGACCGCAGCAGGGGAGGGAGGTCAGGGGCCAGCGCCTGAGAGGGCTGTGCCCTGGTGGGCCGGTCACCGTGGTAACCAACAACGAAACTGGCTTCCAACCACCTCCTCTTGTCCCTAAAATTGGCTTCGGTCCCTGAGGGTTCCCCTTTCGCCCTCCCTGGCTATTCTCCAAGTGCCCTTCTGGAAAAGCTGGATCCTTGTGCCCAGTGAACACAGTCCCCTCACAGCCCTCACCTTGGGGGACTCCAGGCAGGGAACAGGGGAGACCGTGCGGTGGCAGCAGCCCTGCAAAGGGGCTCGCTCGAGGTTGGGTCCCTCCCTGCCTCCCCCCTGCAGAGTGGCCCTCGCCTGCCAGCAGCGGGAGGGGGCAGCTGGGTTATGGTTGCTGGTTGTCGCAAGGACGTCGTGCTATATATAACATCTCTTATCTGCAATTAGCTCATTTGCCGCAGGTATTCGGGGAGGCATTTTTACACTCATATTTGCCAGACTGAACATTCGCCTTCGAAACCGTCTGTTCCGCTCGCTGGTGTCTCAGGAGATGAGCTTCTTTGACGAGAATCGCACAGGTTGGTCCTCCTGCGGCCTGGGGTAACCTCGGCGGCCTGGGGCCCAGCCAGGGTGGGCTGGCCTCCCGTGGAGGGATTAAATGGATGGCTTTTCCTGCTATCCTGTTCGGGATAGAAACACCCCCGGGGGCCCTGCCTGAGGCCGGGAAGCTGGCCTGCTGGCTGAGGTTTTGGTATGAGCTGTGGCCACTGCAGGGGGACCCTGGCCAGGCCACTCCTGCAGGAGCCAAGGCCTTGCCTTCCGCTGTTCTCTGGGAAGCACGAGGGCGGTGGCCCGAGAGGCTCAGCTCCAAGGGGACAAGAGGGTTGGGGTGCGGGACAGAACAGGCAAGGCAGTAATAGTATCCGGCCTAGATCCCAGGCTCTGAGATAGAACAGCCTGGATGCAAGCCCTGGTTCCACCACTCGCTAACTTAACCTCTCTGAGCCTCTGTTTCCCCATCTCTAAAATGGGGACAATGGTAGGAGCTACCACGGGCTTGCTGTGAAGCTCTTGGCCCGGCAAGGGCTCAAAGTTTCTCCTCCCCACCAGCCCAGATTATTATTTCTGTCCCCTCTGCCAGTGACAGGGAGGAGATACGGGCTTGGTTCTGGCTCAGTCAGGGACAAGCCACGTGGCACCAAGTGACCCTTTCCCTTTCTGAGCCTCGGCTGCCTCCTCTGTACCGTGGGATGTGACGTCACAAGATGCTCGCGAGGAGGGCTGGGCTCAGAGCAGCCCTCCGGGGGATGTCTTCTCTTCCCTCCGTCCCCACCCAGAAGGTGGGGGACGCCTGAGCTCCCTGGTGCCTGTCTTGGAAACCCCCCAGTGTCTCCTGCCCCCACCCGCAGTGGGCCCGTTGCCACGGTGGGGACTGAGCCTGCCTGTGTTCCAGGGGACCTCATCTCCCGCCTCACCTCCGACACCACCATGGTCAGCGACCTGGTCTCCCAGAACATCAACATCTTCCTGCGGAACACGGTCAAGGTCACAGGCGTGGTGGTCTTCATGTTCAGCCTCTCGTGGCAGCTGTCCTTGGTCACTTTCATGGGCTTCCCCATCATCATGATGGTGTCCGACATTTATGGCAAGTACTACAAGGTAGGTCCCGCCTGCTTCCCGCCGGGGTCTGTGAGCCGCTCCGGAGGGAGGGAGGCGCCCCAGGAGGGGCTCGGGGGCACCACCGGGGGCTGGCGAAGGACTCAGCCCGAGCGGGTGCGCTCTGTACATCCATTCACTGTGCGTTCACTCATTCAAGGAGTACAGGCCCCGGGATGCATCAGTGAGACAGAAAAGCTTCTGCCCTCAAGGGGTTTATGTTCTTGCGGAAGACGCAGACGATAGCAACAATAATAATAGCAACAATGTGTAATATGATGCAAGATGGTGAGTGCTAAGCAGGAAAAGGAAAGAGAGAGAGAGAGAGAGAGAGAGAGAGATGGGGAACTCTGGGGGGGCTGCCCTTTTTTTTTTAAATTTTTTTTTTTTTTTCAACGTTTATTTATTTTTGGGACAGAGAGAGACAGAGCATGAGGAGGGAGGAGGGAGGAAGACCGAATCGGAAACAGGCTCCAGGCTCTGAGCCATCAGCCCAAACGGCCCGGCGAATTCGAACTCACAGGACGAGATCGTTGACCTAGGTCGTTAGACAACCTTCGCCACCACCCAGGCGCCCCGGGGCTGCCCTTTTAAATCGATCTTTCTGGGGCGCCTGGGCGGCTCCGTCGGCGAAGCGTCCAACTGGGGCTCAGGTCACGATCTCACGGTTCGTGAGCTCGAGCCCCACGTTAGGATCCGTGCTGACGGCTCAGAGCCTGGATGGAGCCCGCCTCGGATTCTGTGTCGCCCTCTCTCTCTCTGACCCTCCCCCACTCGTACTCTGTGTCTCTCCCTCTCTCACAAATGAATAAACGTTAAAAAACATGTTTAACTGGTCTTCCTGAGGAGGTGACATCCGAGGAAAGAGGTGGACAGCTCGGGGAAGCGTGTTCAGAGCTGGTGCAAAGGCCTTGCGGTGGGACGTGCCCGTATGTCTGAGGAGCCTCAGGGAGGCGGGTGATGCCAGGGCGTGAGCAAGGGAGGTGATGAGGGTCGGGCTGTGGGCCTTTGTGAGAACTTGGGTTGACGCTCTGAGCGCAGCGGGCGCTGGCTTTCCGCAGAGGGTACGTTCGTTCGTGTGGGGGAGGCTCGGGCCCCGCGAGGGCGGCCCTCAGCCACCACGCAGCTGTGGGTGGCTGCAGCCGCTTCTGGCCACTCCTTGGGGCAGCCTCCGCCAGGCAGGTTGGCCCGCGAGCTAGCCCCCCACCTCCCCCTCCTCCTGCTCCCCACACTGGTGGGTGCTCCAGAGCCAGAAGGGACTGAGGCCGGGGTTAGACAGGCGCGAGCGGCTCTTTCCCCAGTGACCCAGGCCGGAGCGACAGGCTTTGACACGTGATTGGCTCAGCGTCCCAGGCTCATTAGAACCTTTGGTGCCCGTGACCTTAGGCCAGCCCCAAAATACATCCACTCCCCACAACCATCGCGTCGCCTCCTGGCAGAGTCGACCGCCCGGGAGGGCCCTCTCCCCCATGGTTCCGGATCACGGGTCTCTGTTTTCCTCTCTCCGAGTAGAGAAAGTAAATATATGAGTTGGAACTGGTGCCATTTCCCTTCCTCTGCTCCCGCCCCACCCTTCCTGCCTCCCTGCCAGCCCCTGGGACGGGGCAGGAAGCCCAGAGCCTCCCCCCATCTGCCCGTGCACACCTCGGGCCCCGCCAGCAAGTTCTGTTGGGTGGGGCTAAAGGAAGCTCAACGTAGGTCTCCTACTTGTACCTCAAAGTGTTGAATCTAGCCACTGAGTCATCGCCACAAGCTACATGTGCACTGTCCACAGCCAGACATGACTCAGGGCATGGCATGGCTCCACCCAAGATGCCACAACACACTGCATGCTTCCAACGGCCTCGTGGGACATGCCCCTGCACAATCCTAGCCTGGCCTCTCCAGCAGCCTTCCTCTATGGCTTGACGATATAAGCATCTTACCTACTACAGGGCCTGAACAGCTCTGCCCAGGGGCTGCTTCCAGAACTCTGGTGGGCGGTAGTCGGGTAGTCCTACACTTGGGACTACCTCTCAGCTATCCATACCCAGTCATGTACACAACGCAGGCGGATTTCACAGCCTTCTGCCACCATCTAGAACTCAGCTAGGAGTTCTGGAATCTCTGTGCCAACCCTCAGGCTCTACCATAATTTAGTGTATGTTGATAATATGAACAGCACCCCCTTCATAGTTGGTGTTTCTTGGATAGTGTACAACCTGAACAACCATCCAGAGCATCCCTGTCTTACACTAGCACAGGATCAGGTGTTGAGGCTTCTTTTCTGAGAGGATTACCAAAAACTGAGCCTGTGATGGTGAATAACCTCCATTTGGTGCTGCAGATGACTTAATAATCAGCTCCCTGTCCCTCAGGAGCTGGAACCTCAGGAGCTCATCCCAAGAACCCAGCTGGAGTCTATTCTCTGAGTCTGTCAAATTGAGCTAGAAGGAGAAGGGAGACAGTGGGGATCTCGGTCTTATCCTCTTGTCCCTGGAACTCCCTGCATAGGCCTGGCACCAACTAAGGGTAGGAAGAGCCCAGAGAGGCGTAGAGGCTGTTGGATGGTAAGACTGTCTGTTTGGGGGTCTCCTCCTTCTTGTCCCCACTCCTGCCCATAGAGGCTCTCCAAAGAGGTCCAGAACGCCCTGGCGAGGGCCAGCAGCACGGCCGAGGAGACCATTAGCGCCATGAAGACAGTGCGGAGCTTTGCCAACGAGGAGGAGGAGGCCGAGGTGTACTCGAGGAAGCTGCAGCAGGTGTACAAGCTGAACAGGAAGGAGGCGGCAGCCTACACGTACTACGTCTGGGGCAGTGGGGTATGTGGGGCAGGGCCGACTGTCGGTGGGGGTGGGGGATGGGACACCAAGATGGGGAGATCCCTCCGTCAGGGCGCGAGCCTGGGGCCCTGCGTCTCCGTGTCGGGCTGGTTGCCCTTGGCTTCGCTCTGTCCCACCTTTCTTTCTGCTGGTCCCTGGGACAGATCTTTCTGGAAAAGAATGCAGCCTCCCAGTAGATGTCTTCACAGGGCATCTCCTCATTCCCTCTCACCTGGGCATGGGCTTCCTAGGGAACATCCTCGCCCAGGAAGGGAGTCACCCCGAGGCTGCCGTCTGGCAGGTCCTAGGTCACAACCCCACAGCCCCCCACTGGAGTGTCTGGCTCACTCCCTGGGGGTGAGTCAGGGCCCCTCCCTGGAGGACGGGGAGCTCTTGGAGCCCGTTGCTGTCCGCTGGCCACATCTGGGAGGGAGGTGGGCACAGCGGGGGTAGGTATGAGGAGGGTTTGGAGTTTAGGGGGGAGAAGGACTGTGATCCCAGGGCACAGGGCAGGCTGCCCAGCCAGAGGGGAGAAGGGGCCCAGAAATCCAGCTCAGCTAGCCAAGCCGCCCAGCCATGCCCGCCGACAGGGATGCCATTTGCCCCCTGCACAAAGGTGCCGACCTAGCTCTAACCCAGCTGGGGGTTCGGGGCGGGGAGAGGCAGCGAGCAACCCTGGCCTGTCATGGGTGTTCGGGTTCCGCTCCTGTCCCACCTGCCAGGCGCTGGAGGTGGAGGGAGACAAGAGCGTCCCGGACGCAGCCCCTCCTTCAGGGAAGCCGGTGGGGCGAGGAGACACTTCCCATCGTCCCCCTCCGTCTGGCTTACTGTGCGACCTTAGCCTGCGGACCGAACCTCCCTGAGCCATGCTCTTTGCGGCGAGGAGGAAGACACAGCTCCCGCTTGGCCTGGCTGAGGCGCTTGGGCTGCGTGTGCGGGCCAGGGCCTTACAAAGGAGGCCTTGTTCTCTGCCAGGCCTGCGGCTCCCTCCAGCTGGGGGCCTTCGCAGGGAAGAAGTCCGGGGCCCGGGAGCGGGAGGGCACGTGTGACAGCCGGCCACCAGCGTGTGGGAGGACACCCCCGCCTGGCCGGAGTCTCGGTCTGTGGCTGGAGAGGAGAGGAATCAGGAGTGAGTCGGGATCTGGGCAACCGGACCCTGTGATTGGACCCTTCTTCTTCTTACTACACTTTCTGCCTTCTGCCTTCTTTTTTTTTTTTTTTTTTTTTTTTTTTTTTTTTTTTTTTTTTGTTGTATTTGTTACTTACATGCATACACATTTGCATGCCCTCTGCCCGCAGCTCACCCTTCTGGTAGTCCAGGTCAGTATCCTCTACTACGGGGGCCACCTGCATTTCTCCGGTGAGAGATCCAGCTGACATCTCCTTCATCATCTACGAGTTTGTCCTGGGAGACTGTATGGAGGTGGAGGGGTCATGAGCGCTGGGGGAGGTCCTGGGGAGGCAGAGGAGGATCTGACAGAGGTCTGAATGGGGGAGGGAATGCTCCAGGTGACGGACAGATGGGGTATTTCTAGTAGGTCGGGAGAAACATAATACCAACAGCATGACAATAATACTACCAATGGCAGCAGCTGTGTTCCCAGTACGAGCAAAATGACAGGAGACAAAGGTCACTCCAGGGAAAGGCTCTCTAAGAATACCGTGAGGGGTCTTAGTACTCATTCTACTCCAGTTCTCAAACAAAGCAGTCAGAGAGGTAAGTGACTCTCCCACTGCCGCTTTATTGAGGGGACAGTTCAAAAACCAGATGGGTCTGGACTTTTTTTAACTACTTGTAATGTTTTTTAATTTATTTTTGAGAGAGAGAGAGAAGGCACAATTGAGGAAGGGCAGAGAGAGAGTCACAGAGTATGAAGCAGGCTCTCTGAGCTGTCAGCAAAGAGAGTCTCCAGCTGGGTGAACCTCGAACGGAGAGACTCGCGGACCGAGCCAACTTCGGATGCCCAATCACAGAGCCACCAGTTGCTGTTTTAACCATTATTTTATTTTAATTTTTTTTTAACCTTTATTTATTTTTGAGACAGAGAGAGAGACAGAGCATGAACGGGGGAGGGTCAGAGGGAGGGAGACACAGAATCCTGAAACAGGCGTGTGAAAGGCTCTGAGTGTTCCGAAGCACATGAGCATTGCGGGTGGCAGACCTCATGGACCTCGAGATCATGACGGCCAAAAAGCGCTTATCGACTGAGCCACCCAGTGGCCAATCATAACCATTTATTTTTTTTTTTTTATAATTTTTTTTTCAACGTTTATTTATTTTTGGGACACAGAGAAGCAGAGCATGAAGCGGGAGGAGCAGAGAGGGGAGCACAGAATGACAGGCTCCAGGCTCCTGCAGGCCATCAGCCCAGACCTGATGCGGAGCTCGGAACCACTGAGAGCACGTCGTGACCGGCTGAAGTGGGATGCGCATAACCGAGCATCGCCACCAGGCTCCCCTTGCCCACCCCTACTTTAAAGAGGCACCGCTCTGGGTGCGCTCGGCTATAGTGGCGGCATCTGACCTGATTCCCAGGTCATGAGCTCATCGGTTCATGGTTGAGCTCCCGCTGGTGCTGACAATGCCACAGCAGAGCCTGCTTGGGATTCTCTCTCTCCCTTTCTCTCTGCCCCTCAAATCCCCTCAAAATAAATAAATTAAAAAAAAAAAAGAAATATCTACCTAGAACAAAGCAAGAGGGTTGTTTTAGATTCCTTAATTTGGGTTCCCCCAGGAGCAGACCCTGAGACAGGGAGCTGGGGTGCTCACGTCCCAGCGCCCGTTGGTCACTGCTGAAGGATCCTTGGAGTAGGGGCGTTAATCCCCTGGCACCGAGGGTGGGCCTTTGTGTCCTCCACTGATAAAGCTGGGGGCGTGCATGGGGGAGAGGGTGTTAGCCTCTGCAGGAGATGACACTTTGCATTGGCGACAGTCATACCTGTATGTCATTTGACACAGCAATTCTGCCTCTGGGAACCCGGGCTGCAGAAACACCCACACCAGTGGCCAAAGGTGTGTGGACACTGAGTGAAGGAAGCATTGCTTCTAATAGTGAAAACTTAAAGCCTCCTCCAACGCCCACCGGTCAGGGATTGGGCCAATAGGGCCCGTCTGTGTTCCAGAAGCAGTATGCCTGCACTATAAAAACTAGGCAACAGCCACAGAAATGGGGTGCCTCTGTGTGTATTAGTATGGAAAGGACCCCGAGACCTCGCGTGAAGTGAAAAGGCGAATCCCAAAGCAACAGGAAGGGTCTGATCCCACTGGCGTAGTTTTTAAATGTCAGAATTATTTATCATATATGTGCGTGTGTTTGGAAACGCCTGGAGGAAGGACTGGAAAGATATAGGACGCGGCTACCCAGGGCTGTGGGAGGAGGTGTGGAGGACCGTGGTCATGTAACGCTTGTATCTTAATACGAATGATAATATCTTGATATTTGTGATAACGGTCCCAGCTGTGCTGTATTTTTTAAGTTTATTTGAGAGAGAGAGAGAGAGAGAGAGGAGATGGAGAGAGAGACAATCCCAAGCAGGCTCCACACTACAGCGCAGAGCCCAATGCAGAGCTGAGATCGTCACCACCTGAGCCAAAACCAAGAGTCAGACACTTAACCGACTGAGCCCCAGGTGCCCCCCACCCCCACCCCCCTGCAGCTGCGCTGTGTTGAGGGCCTACCAAGTGCCGAACAGTGTTTCCATGGAACAATGATGCTGGTACTAAGGTCACTCCCGCTTCCCCAACCAGGACACCCAGTCCTAGCACAGAAGGGCCTGAACTCAGGAACCAGCCGTGCCTGGGTTCAAGTCTCACCTCTGCCACTTCCCAGCCGTGTGACGTGGAGGAAGTTACACGAACTCTCTGTGCCTCCGTTTCCCCATCAGCAAAAAGGAAATAATGATAGAACCTACCTCGTAACATATACAAAGTGTTTGATGAAGTGAGTCATCATTCTTACTCACATTTATACGTTGTATATTTTTACGTGAGGAGAACGTATAGCAGAAAGTAAGTTTTTAAAACCGAAATTTGAAAAAAATGCTGTGGCAGCCGAGAGGGGAAGGTTCGATTCCTGTCCTGCCACATCTGGCTGGTTCAGTTAACTTCCCTGCCCTTCCGTTTCCTCCTCTGGGGGGTGATAATGCCCCTGTGCAGGATGCTTAGCTAGAATGGCCCCAAGGCACTGGTTCCAATGTGTTCTGACAAAAGGCATTGGTATTTTTTGTTACTGCCCTTGTTTTTCATTATTGTCGTTATCTGCTGGACTAGTGGGGGGCCCCAGCAGCATCCTGCACCCCCCAGAACTGCTGCTATGGTCCCCACTCTCCCACACCCCCTTCATCTCTCTGGCACCATGGCGGGGGGGGGAGGGCTCCCAGCATTGGGGTGTCAGCGGGACAGGAACACGTGTCTCCTCCGCCCACAGTCCGTGGGCTCTGTCTACAGCGGCCTGATGCAGGGAGTAGGGGCCGCCGAGAAGGTGTTCGAGTTCATTGACCGGCAGCCAACCATGGCGCATGATGGCAACTTGGCCCCTGACCACCTGGAGGGCCGGGTGGACTTTGAGAATGTGACCTTCACCTACCGCACTCGGCCCCACACCCAAGTCCTGCAGGTGAGAAGGCTGCTCGAGGCCCTCCCAGATCGCCCCCTCCTTCATCCCGTGTCTTGCGCGCCTCCTAGAAGCCAGGCCATGGCAGTGTAGCCGGGATTGCGTAAGGCAGAGTCCTTGTCCTGGAATTTGGGCTGTAGTCAGGGAAGGCAGATCACTGACAGAGGAGTCCAAATAGTAAGTGCTAGGAAGGCAACAAATCAGGGTGGTATGACAGGGGCCGTCTACAGGGATGGTGTTAACAGTCAAGGAGGGCTTCTCGGAGGAGAGGACATTTGGGCTGGATCCTGAACAGGGAGAGGAGGCACCCAGGGAGTAGAAATGAGCATAAAGTTACTGCCAGATCCTAGAAAGGAGAGCATTCCGGGGGCTGGCAGTGTCCAGCCCAAAGGGGCGTGAGCGGGTGGGGAAGGGTGCCTGCCTGTGTCCGAGGCTGGAGCTTCAGAGCCCGTGGCCCCACACCCTGCTATGTGCTACGTGTCCTTGCAGAATGTCTCCTTCAGCCTGTCCCCAGGAAAGGTGACCGCGCTCGTGGGGCCCTCAGGCAGTGGGAAGAGTTCCTGTGTCAACATCCTGGAGAACTTCTACCCTCTGGAGGGGGGCTGCGTGCTGCTGGACGGGAAGCCCGTCAGCGCCTATGACCACAAGTACCTGCACCGAGTGGTAGGTGGAAGGGCCTTTGTTTGCCTCTGTGCGCTTTCTTTTTCTGGCTTCACCCTCATGAGCCGCAACAGAGATGCAGAGAAGAGTGTTGTAGGTAAACGTACAGCTCAGAGACCGCCACCCCGGTCAAGAGAAGGAACATTCCAGCACTCCTGCACCTCGTGTGTCCCTTCTCTTCCCCCTGGAGGCCACGTCTCCCTGACTTTTATGATCGTCTCCTTCTTTAGTCTTACCATCTCTTTGTTCCTCTCAAACAGCAAAGCTGCGTTTTGCCTACTTTTGAACTTGATCTGGCTGGAATCCTAAAGCATGCATTCGTCGCATCTTGCTTCTTCCACTCAGCAGTTGTCCGTGAATCATCCAGGTTGAGGCTCTGGTTGTAGTTCATTCATTTTCGTTGCTGAATCTAAGGCATCTCTAGTACTTAAAGGAGGCTGTTCCTGACCATACAGTTTTTGGCAATCATTTCGGAGAAGGTTCCTCAACACCTGGGCCTGTGCTGGCATAAAAGCAGGGATGCCCTGGATGGTTGTTCGGGTTGCATACAATACGAGAAACACCAACTATGAAGAAGGCACCATTGCATCATCCACATACATTATAGGAGAGCCTGAGGGTTGGCACAGGGATTCCAGAACTCCCAGACAAGTTCTAGATGGTGGCAGAAGCCACAGATTGTGAATTGTGATTATTTGCCCGCCCGTCTGCTTATAACCAGGGGGTAGATGGCTGAGCGGTGGTCTCAGGTGTATAAGGACAAGGCTGCTGCCCACCAGAGTTCCGGAAGCGGCCCTTAGGCAGAGCTGTCAAGGCTTTGCAACAGCTGATACGCTCAGACACATACTGTTCTTAGCCTGTTAATATTGTCCTGATTTTTGGCCAGCGGGTGAGTGCACGTGTGGAGGTGTTTCACTGCGGTCTTTTGCATTTTACTGATGACTAAACATATCAAGTACCTTTCCATATGGTTCACTACTTGGATTTCCTCTTTTGTGAATCCCTTCTCTTTAGTTTAAATTAATTTTTTTCCAATTTTCGTAAACCCAAAACAGTAAAATTCAACAATCTAACCACATTCCCATATATTCAGAGAATTTTGTAACTAAGACATAAGAGTTCCCCTCCGCCTCACTTGTTTTTTTTTTTTTTTAATTTTTTTTTTTTTAATTTTTTCAACATTTATTTATTTTTGGGACAGAGAGAGACAGAGCATGAACGGGGGAGGGGCAGAGAGAGAGGGAGACACAGAATCGGAAACAGGCTCCAGGCTCTGAGCCATCAGCCCAGAGCCCGACGCGGGGCTCGAACTCACGGGCCACGAGATCGTGACCTGGCTGAAGTCGGACGCTTAACCGACTGCGCCACCCAGGCGCCCCTCCGCCTCACTTTTTAAAATTCCACCCCACGGTGGTGACTGCTATTAGCAGTTTAGTAAATGTCCTTTCTAACCTGTTTCCTATCTTTATATAAGTATATTGATATACAAAGGCACACATATAAGTTTTTTTTTGACAAAAACAGAATCATGCTCGGTATGTGTATCTGTGTATGTGTATATACAGATACACACACATATACATACAAATTTGATTCTATGGATACACTGTGGTCATTAGCCAATTCCCAACTTATGAAATTGATTTTTTTTCTCTATTTACAGTTGCAGTGATACCGTCCATACTCTCATTTTTGTAGGCTACATTCCTAAAACGGAATCGGGGGACAACAGCTTCTTTAAATTATTCTCTTTGGAGGGACGGGGTACCGGGGAGGTCTTTATGGCCCGGGGGCCTGCTGTGGCCTCTTGTCTTCTGACGTGAACAGACTTACATTCTATACTCTCTTTCCCAGCGAGCTGTCTTGGAGGTCAGGGAACTCGGCTTAGCTCCAAGCAGCTAGCTTAGCAGGCCCCAGATTTTTGGTCGGGGGAGCTGAGGGCTTGTACAGAAAGTGGACTCTGTTGTTTTGGAAGAAGAGAGGCAGCTGATGTTACCAGCCAGGCACAGGCCCTGATCAGATTTCAGACCCAAGACCCCTGGCGTCAGGCAGGCCTGGGGCTGGCAAGGTTCCCGGTGACAGCTGGACGGATGAGCTCCAGGCGTCTCATGCCCCATCCTTTCTCCTGCACAGATCTCCCTGGTGAGCCAGGAGCCAGTGCTATTTGCCCGCTCTATCACGGACAACATCTCCTACGGCCTGTCCACCGTGCCCTTCGAGATGGTGGTGGAGGCTGCACAGAAGGCAAATGCCCACGGCTTCATCATGGAGCTCCAGGACGGCTACAACACAGGTACAGCCCAGGAGCATCACCTCCGCTGTGCCTGAAGGTCCACCTTCAGGAATGCGACCCTCTGAGTTGAGCATTGCCCTCTGCCAGCTGCTCTTTATTATTTCAGGTGAAATTCACTTAACCCTTTGAAAGTGAGCACTTCAGTGGTGTTTAAGGACATTCACAGTAACAGGCAACAACCGTCACCTCTGTTGAGTTTTAAAAGATTATTATTTTAGGGGTGCCTGTGTGACTCAGTCGGTTGAGCATCCAACTCTTGATTTCAGCTCAGGTCATGGTCCCGGGTTGAGGGATCAAGCCCCACATCAGGCTCCATGCTCAGCATGGAGCTTGCTTAAGATTCTCTCTCTCTCTCTCTCTCTGCCCTTGTCCCCTACATGCACGCATTCTCTCTCTGTCTCTCAAATTAAAAATAAACAGGGGCTCCTGGGTGGCTCAGTCATTAAGCATCTGACTTTGGCTCAGGCCATGATGTCATGGTTCATGAATTCAAGTCCCACTTGAACTCAGGTGAGCCCAAGCTCCACTTCAGGTAAAACACAAGCCCTGCGTCAAATGAGCCCCTCTCTCTCTCTCTCTCTCTCTCTCTCTCTCTCCCTGCCCCTTGCTCACTTGCACTCTCTCTCTCTCAAAAAAAAAATTAGAATATAAATAAGTAAAGCATTATTTAAAATAATATATGTATTATATTAATGACAACTTAATTTTATGTTAATAAATTAATATTTTAATATAACAGATTTAGCAATCTTGATTTATATTATATATTTTATTGTGTTTAATATACTTTAAAATTTTAACCCTTGTAAAGGGGCTATTCACATGGTCCAGAACTAAAAATATATACATATAATGACACATAATGAAAAGTTTTATTCTATCCCTGTCTCCACCCCTTTTTTCTCCTGTCCCAACAAAGCCTCTTTCATGAGCTTCTTACGTGTACTTTTGGAGTTTCTTTATGCAAATGTGGATGTATATATTATTTTTATTTTATTTATTTATTTTTTGAGAGAGAGAGACAGAGAGCATGCTGGGGAGGGGCAGAGAGAGAGGGAGACACAGAATCCAAAGCAGGCTCCAGGCTCCGGGCTGTCAGCACAGAGCCCGACGCGGGACTCAAACTCGCGAACTGTGAGATCGTGACCTGAGCCGAAGTCGGACGCCTAGCCGACGGGGCCACCCAGGCACCCCTGCCTTGCTCCTTTTTTAAACAGTTGGATTGTATACCAGTGTATGGGCTTTATGATAATTTATTTAAATAAGCCTCTCAGTTTCCTACTGACGGACATGCAGGGGTCGTGCATTTGTCCTTGTGATCACAGGCTTGCACGGTACAAAATGACAGACACAGAGGTGTGTGCAGCCCCAGGAAGGTGGGGGAGTGCCTGGTTCCCCACAGCACAGTGTACTATCAAGCATTTGGATTTTTGCCAAATGAATAAGTAAAAATTGGTACCCTACGACCGGTGACTGTAGTCACGATTTGCACGAACCGGGGCGGGGGGAGAGCATCCTTTCGTGTTTTGGAGCTGGTGGTTGTCCCAGCCGGCGGCCCTTTGAACCACACCTTTTCCTGGAGAGCACGGCTCCTATGGCAGCAGGGAAAGGCAGGAAAGACAGAGGAGGGGACTTTTCTCTCTTCCCCAGGGCTGCCCCGGCCTCACCCTCTGCTCACTCGCCCCTGTCCCTTTGTCACACAGAGACTGGGGAGAAGGGTGCCCAGCTGTCGGGCGGCCAGAAGCAGCGGGTGGCCATGGCTCGGGCTCTGGTGCGGAACCCACCCGTCCTCATCCTGGACGAAGCCACCAGCGCCCTGGATGCAGAGAGCGAGTACCTGGTGAGTTGCGGGGGATGGCGGGGTGATGCCAGACAATGGAGCCAGGAGCTGGGAAGGGTTTGGAGACTCTACGGAGCCCTCCCCTGCTGTCAGTTTCCTGGACTGGGGTGTTCAGGGCTGAGGGTAGGGAACCAGGGGAGAGGAGACCCAGGGCTGGACCAGCCAACTGGCTCCTGGCAGACGTGAAATCATATGATTCAGTTTGGAGTTGAGGCCCTGCCCTCAGCTCATCACTTGAGCCAGTGTCTTCCGCTCTCTGAGGCCCACTGTCATTGGTAAAGAGGGTCCAACAGGGTATTTGTCACTGACTAGCTACCTCGGCCTCTCCGTGGGTTGAATCGTTAATTACACAGGCATTCACTGAGCTCCTCCTGGCCACTGGGCACCGTCCCAGACCCTGAGGTTGCAAGGGCTGGCTGAACAGACAGACAAAGGCCCCGTCCCTGCTGTGTTTCCATGTTTCCATTCCAGGGGAAGAACAAGCATGAGTTCAACCTGTGGCCTGTGCCACGTAGAAAATGAAACTGTCATTTGAGAGAGAGAGATCGAGAGAGGTCACCAGTGCCAAAGAGAAACACGGCCAGACATTAAAGCTGGAAAAAAACCCAGATTTTATTCAGTAACTACTGACAGTAGGGGAAAGAGCTGAGCTCCACTCTGGTTTGTGCAGAGGTGAGAGTGGTGACAGGCGTTTCAAAGGAGAATGAAGGCATAAGGAGGCGAGCTCCAGGGAAGGCCTAGGAAGGGCTGGGCAGTGTGGATGCGATTAGCCGGCCGTGTCTGCTGGCTGGCAACTGTCGGCCAGAATTCTGTCCTCCCATGGAGAATGGGAGACTGAGGCCCTGTCCTTCCTAGCAATTCCATTGAAGAGGAAAGGCCTTTAGGTCCCTGAGAAAGACACTCTTGACTTACAGGAGATTCATATATATATATATATATATCTCAAAGGGACAGAGGAAGGGTTTATAATTATAAGCCCTTTTTAAAAATTTTTTGATGTTTATTTATTTATTCAAAAATTTTTATGTTCATTTAATTTTGAGAGAGAGAGGGCACAAGTGGAGGAGACACAGAGAGAGAGAGGGAGACATAGGATCTGAGCAGGCCCCAGACTCTGAGCTGTCGGCACAGAGCCCGATACAGGGCTTGAATTCATGAACTGTGAGATCATGACCTGAGCCGAATTTGGATGCTTAACCGACTGAGCCACCCAGGCGCCCGTTATGTTTACTTATTTTTGAGAGATAGCGCGAGCAGGGGAGGGGCAGAGAGAGAGGGAGATACAGAATCCGAAGCAGGCTCCAGGCCCTGAGCTGTCAGCACAGAGCTCGATGTGGGGCTTGAACTCATGAACTGTGAGATCGTGACCTGAGCTGAAGTTGGACACTTAGCCGACTAAGCCACCCAGGCCCTCCAGTTATAAGCCCTTTGTATTAAACGCTCGAAGAAAGGGAGGTCAGGAGTCTACTGTCAGGCATTGGCCAAAACAGTCGATTCTCCCGGCAGTGCTGAGCATTCAGTGGAGCTGGGTCATCCCAGGGACAAGGCCTTACACTGTCAAAGCCCTGCTGGAGTGTGGCCATCTCACTGATAGAAGCAGGGTCTCCGGGTACCATTTGAGCTGATACCCAAGAGGAAAGGAGCCAGTGGAGGGCAGTTGTGAGGTAAGAGCATCTGAGGAAGAGAGGGCAGCATATGCAGAGGCCTGGAGCAAGTTCATAGGCAAGCCCGAAGGTCAGCGTGTCAGGCTGGGGGGGTCCAACAAGGTGAGGACAGAGTCCTAAGGAGACACAGGCAACTCAGGCCCTAGTTCTAGAGTTCGGATTTTTTTTTTTTTTTTTTAATTAACAGAAAAAAGAAAAGTTGAGCAAAAGAAAGTTGAGCAAAAAAGTGCAGAGAGCTCCCTTATATGTCCTTTTCACCCCATTCTTATTACTAACATCTTATTAATAGTAAGTTTCTCTTATTATTAACATCTTGATGCAGTGAATTCGTTCCAAGTGATGAACCAGCTTTAACGCGTTATTGCTAACTAAAGTGCATAGTTTACATTAGGGGTCCCCCTTCGTGTTGTGCACTCTTGACCTTGACAAGTGCAGAATGCTAATGTGGAGTCTGGATTTTATTCTTTGTTGAAGGGCTTGGAGCAGGAATTCAACAGGAACTGATGGAAACATTAAATCCCGGGGGGCGGGGG